ATTTTTGATCTGTACAATTCTACTTACAATGATATTTACAGGAGTTCAGCTTGGCTGAACTATGTAATGTTAACTTTTTTGGTTTTTTTTCCAGTTTAGACGCAACGTTCAACACAATGTGGTCCATCAAGTGTCATCAAGAGATTCACCCGCTGTTAAGACAACTGGAACCCCTCTCTCTTCCATACCACACAGAACAAACACAACGCAAGTCCAATCCAGTCAAGTTGAACGACGTGCCTACTTCTTTTTTCTGAAGAGATTCTTCAATTTGTTGTAAATGTGCGCCCATCCTTCTTGTTCCATGAGGTCCTTCAGCCGACGATCGTTATTGATGGTTTTTCGGATATCTGTCGTCGCTGGCAGCTCGGAAAAGTCTCTGAAGGCTTCTTTGAGGAGTTTGGTGTCCTCAGGGTCCCACTCTGTCCGCTTGGGTCCTGTGGACCTGGAAGAGGGATCGTCAAAGTCATCCAGCCAACTGGAGACTTAAGCCTCTTTAGGTACTTCAGACACAGGCGGTGTTGACGTTGCACCTCCTATCTTTGCAAGATAGTTAACATAATTTACAACTTGCTTGACCCTATTTTTTGAAAATGAAAGAAAGTAGAGAGGGGATCTGTCGCAGTGTTTTCTGTACGTCGGTAATGGTGACTTTGTCACAAGGCTCAATCGTTTTGCCAAAGGCACTCCTTATTTGACCCTTTTGTTTTTCGGTGAGCATCTTATGTGTTGGAGATGGTGGCACTACTCCACTGATCATGGTTGATTGCTTTGATGATTTTGCAGAAGGTTGCGACTGGGTTTCAACGGATGGTGGTGCCGGTGGTCTTGTCGCCTTAGATGTAGATGGTGGTGGTGACGCTGGTGGGCTCTGTCTCTCGGGTGTAGTTGATCGTTGTGACGTCGGTGGGCTCTGTTCCTTGGATATAGATGGTGGTGGTGATGCTGGCGGGCTTTTTTCCTTAGAACTTCGCCTTTTCTTTCACGTCCAATAGCCGTTGGATAATGTTAACGGCCTTGATGCCAGTATTCGTCAAGTCCGGCCGTGCGTACCACTGCCTAGAGGTCTTCTCACTATGGGCGAGGACACGCCGCAGGATGGCCCGTTCTTCTGGGCTGCAGCGATCCAGCATCTGCGTGGTTATCATATTTCTCATATCAACAAATGCCATACGCGATCCAAGGTTTATGCCACATTTTTCTATGAAGCCGGAAAGCCTTTTACCAATGGTGCCCTCGCAGAACGCGATTCCGTCGGTTGTGATAAAGAGGGCATCCTCATCATGCTTGGCAAAGTCAGGGCGAATTCTGCGGACATAAATGTCCATGAATTTATATTGGTCTGGTAGCATTGGGCAGATTGCTGGTCCATCCTTTCTGCGCTTGTGCTTTGCCACTAGCATGACTTTGCAACCATCTTGGACTTTACCTGAGGTGTACTCGTGCAAGGTGGCGTTATTCAGCGGCCCGGGGCGAGTACCAGTGTCTAAGGAGAACTTTGTCAGCAAGAAATCCCTGACGTTGACGAACTGTTTAGTAGTAAGTTCCTTTCCACGACCCGCTTGAATTAGCAGCCTCTGGGCTTCGTTGTATGCGTCGCTGGACTTGATCTGAGAGAGCTCCTCCAGAGTGAGAAGTCCCTCGGTTTCGTCTACCATGCGCTTGTTTTTCACATGGTAGGTCTGGCTGTCCACGCACGAACGCCAGCCCTTGATGTCCTTCTTGAGGGT